TAGCATGTAGTTATAGATAGGGCTACCTGGGAGTAAGAGGGATCTGACCGCCAGCTAGGGGGGCGAGTTGTGATACCTTTGTGTGTGGACACTCTCGTTCCTTGTGTATGTAAGTGTGAGTTGTGAGTAGAGCATGTCAGCGATGTATGATGTATGGCGATATTGAGTCGCACGACAGCTGTCATGTGTATGCACGTTAGTGCAGTTGTAGATCGACGTTGGTGTCGATTTGAGTTCAGACATGTTGGTATCGAGTGTGAGTCGGGTGACGTTGGGAGTCGGCTAACGTTGAGACGCGGAGCGTAGGCTATCGACTTTCCAGGTTTATATTCGTGGCGAACTCGAAGAATTGTCAGTTCTTCGAGTTGAGCCTTTCGCGTCGGGGTTGATCCCCATAGCTTCGACCCTTATTCTACGTGCGAGTCGTGGGTTGGGCTCGACTCTTTGTACAGTTGTGACATCTACCCTTCTTTTAGTTGTGATACCTTTGTGTGTAGACACTCTCTTTCTTTGTGTATGTATGTGTGAGTTGTGAGTAGAGCATGTCAGCGATGTATGATGTATGGCGATACCGAGTCGCACGACAACTCTTCAAATTAAAGTGACCATTGAAGTAACATTCTTGATTTCATTAATTAAACTATAAATTTTGCATTTTGATATGACACAATTTACATTCAAAAATAATGATTTTCAATTAAAAGAATGAATATCAAACAAATTGAAGATTGATCATATGACATTGAATTTCTTTCATGCATCTCCATATTTGCAAAACATAAATATCTATTTTTTTCTCTCGATACAATCATATCAAAGACATTTGCTACCTTTTTATACTTTCAAATGTTAAACTTATTTATCATTTGCTTGCTATATTATGAGCAATAATTCACTTACAAGGAAGCAAGATAACTATAAAACCATTGTATCACCATGGATAACAAAAAAACCTCACTCAAAGATGAAATATAAAACTTGAAGATGAGATATATCTAAATTGGTTATATTTTTCACAAGATTTTGTTCTTGAATTATATTGAATATGGCTGTTTTTTAACTCAGTTGATTTACATTTTATCATAAAGCTGAAGGAACTCAAAATTGTTAGAATTGTCCATGTTTTGATTAAAAGATTTGTTTTTAGGACGTGGTTCGAATGAATCACGTAATTTTTTTGTACTTGATTCTTGTGTTTTGTCCAACAGTTGATATCAGAGTTGAGGAATCGTCTCATTTGATTGTTGTGATGATTAGGAGTCGTTGATGTTGATTCTTTGTCAGTGATGTTAATTTGATGTTCGATGAAAGGATCGCTATAGTGTGCGAGGATCAATCAAGTGTAGGGCATTTCATGAACACACATGTTGTAGATATTTCACCCGATTCAGAGCGGAGTTTACGAGTGTTGTTATAATAATATTTGTTTCATTAATTGTATCAAACAGTCCAACAAACTTATGTTTTTTGTTTTTATTCAAAAATCAAATACATGTTTGATTTGGATACATTAAAGCAGAGATTTTTTAAAACAAAAATCACAAATTCAATATTTGATGTGAAATATAGAAAATTTAAAAATTCAGATATAATTGATTAAGACATTTACTTATATGATTTCAAAATATTTTCAAAAATTAGTAAAAATGAGATTAGGAGTGAAATTGAAATTGAAAAGAAACTCAATTTACGCAGTAAGATAAAGAATACAATATTTTGATAGATCACATCTTTTCAAGATACTTAATGAATTGTGTTTAATTTGAATTTACTCCCAAATCAACATGATACTATGAAGTAAATAATTTTGTAATAGATTTTGAGGAGTCAGTCATAAAAATTTTAAAAGTTCAAGTATCATATTTACAAAGTAGTGTGCTTTTTAACCATTTGGATTGACCCACATTTCATATGTTACTTGTTTGCAAACTTCTTCATCTTATCATATGACATCATCCATTGAGATGATTGATGTCATCTCAATCATATTCTTTTTTCTTACAAGAACTTGTTGTCATTGTGTATTTACATAGATCTAGAGTGATCAATCATTATGTGTATTGGATTACAAAAATTCATATACAATTCAATTTGACTAGATCAAGGTTGGGTTAGTGATATTGATATGTAATTGTATGGTGTTTAATCAGCATGAACATGACTTGTTTTGTGCATTGGTTTTCGAGAGCTATATGATGTGCTTCTTGTTTAAGAGAATGAATTTTTATTCTCGAAGACTGTATAACCTCATGCCTTACTAGAAGTCCAAAAAATCTAAGATGACGTGATGATGTTTGAGTACTTTTCATACATGTGCTTTGGTGGGCATTATCAATTCCAAGTATCAATTTCCAGCCAATTTAATGTAAGCTTCGTATCGAAAGGGAGTAGACTATCTGGTGTACAGGGAGATGGCAGCGTTCATTGTTCATTTTCAACTGTAATACTAGATTTGAATGACAGATTCATAAATTTTACCTTCGCCAAGTTACGTGATGTTGGAGTGAAGCAGACACATATGTTACTCCATAATTTTTGGGAGGTATGCATAACACTTTGTCGCATCGGCTTGTGTGTGTTACAGAGTGCAAAACAAACGTCTTGATGTGAACCCGGGAGTTGTGTCAGTGTTCTTGGGAAGAGAGTTGGAACTCGAAGTATCAATTTTGTTGCAGTGTCCAAATTTTTGTTCTGTTCGGCAGGTAGGGACAGTTGGCCGAGATATGGCTCATGCTGTGCAGGAACTGCGCTTCTTGTGGTCTTGATTTCTGGCTGGTGCTGGCGTCGGGATCCAGATTTGTTCCATGTGGGAAACAGGTCTCCAACTATGCACCGTTGCCCAGTCGGTTCCCGTGCATTTTTGTTATATGCTTCTTGGATTTTATATTCTAACAATTCAAAATAGTCAAGGTATTTATGGAAATAAATATAATCCGTTGAAAAAATATGATACATTCCTACTTCTCTAAGAGGATGGAATCCGGCGAAATGCGTCCGAGTAAGGTCGTTCTTTGCTCTTACATATGGGCAAGGAAGCTCCACGAGATGGCCTCGTATTGTGAGTGAGCATGACTACTTGCTCCTCTCCGATGACAGTAATGCCGGAACTGTGCATTTACGTAACGAGGTTTTTGAGTTTGCTGGTATGTTTAATAATTTCATCGCTATTTCCAGGCCGAAGGTGGAGAAATTGTTCCGTTGGAACGAGTAGGTGATTTGGTCTTTTGGTCCGAAGACTTGTATCCATGGCGGGGATCCAAACAAACGTAATGTTTAACGACCGCATCCACTAAGCGTCATATCCAGAATAATCACTTGTCGTTTTGCAGTTGTTCAGCTTTGCTTTCCGCCATCGAGAATGCAGAACATAATTTCATTGATTCAACCCTATCTTCAGAACGGATCCCTTTGATATGTGGCCATGACCCTGTTAATACCAGCCAGTTGTGATGGCAAGATTATATACCTGGGATAAATATAGCGACCCACTTATCGTCGAACATGGCGTCTATCATTGCAGGCAAGAGGAGGCACTCCTTACTCCATACGGACAGAAATCGTAATAAAGTGTCAGAACATCCGAAAGAACATACGCGTCCTCTACATTCAAGCAATAAACTTTGGACTTCTTCGTTGCATGCAATTGATAAATTGACGGAAGACAGCCGTTTCCTTCGCTCACCTGGGTGTGTGGCAAACAAGGGAAGAGAAGCAAAGCAAGGCAGAACAGAGGACCGTGCTAAATGGTAGACAATCAGCCCTCTGGAAAGGCCGAGTATTTCATTCAGTGAACGCCTTCCTCGGGGTGGATGTAATTGCCTTGCTCATACGGTTAGCACTAGATAGTTCCAGTACAGCTGGATTCAGAAAGGAAGTCTGATAGGAAAGTCACATGGAATACACATCACCCCGATGTCCAACTCACATCCATCGAAGTTCCGCACACCACGCTCGTGAGAAAACTCAAATCCCACGATGGACTATACGCTGACACTATTGAACCCATTTTCTGTCATCGACAGAAGAGATGAACTAAATCAATTCGAGAATCCTTCGACGTCCCAGACGACGTCTGTCGGGGTGAGTATGTTTTTAGTTCAGCTCGGAAAACGATCTGTAGTAAATGATATGGCGAACTCTCGTGGCCTGCGGAGGCGCAGGTCGCTCAGCTCCACGGATAGCAAAAATCATTCGAAACTTTCCGGCGAGTTCTCCGTGAACCTGCAGTGGCAGAGCAGAGTGTGCACTGGCAAAGATCGCGGAACCCGCCTTTTTTTAGGACAGCGACCCCGAAACAGGAAATGTGCATCACGTGCAGACATCTCTACCTCCCAGCTACATTGCCGGTCTCCACTTACGAGAGATGCTTGGCATGCAAACATGCGGGCAAAACAGGAACTCTGCCTTTCTCTTGCCTGCTGCAGGTGCCTGTAGCATCGTATGTCGCAATGATGGTTGAACAGAAGAAGTCTAAACACATGCATACATACTACATCACACCAATGCGAGGCAGCAAAGGAAAGGTGACGGCGCACATCCTCACGTCTGTATCGTCGACCCACTCAGTCCTCGGACTGAGCCAGAATCGGTCCATACCCAGTGGAGAACGGGAGATCTGTGAGGGCAATCAAGCTAAAGCAGAGCTCGTGACAAGTCTGGGCAAATTTAATAAACTCACGCCCGACACCAAACTACTTTATATCTCGCTCGAGAAATCATTGCAATGTACGAGTAGGAGCGAATCTCACTGGGACCGTCTGTAACCGGGGGGTTAGAATGTTCTTCGAGGCAGACAAATGTTTGATATTCAGCGAGGAACTGTTACGACGATGTACAGCACAAGAAGTGAGGACCTGTCACTGCTCTGATACGAGAACGAATGAACCTGAGCGTCGAGGGATCAGCTTGATCTACCTCACCTGGCTCACATGAAATAGAGAAACAATCGTCGAATGTGAATGGACGAGAACGAGAGACAATGCCCGTGACAGACTTGTGTTCAGGAAGATTATTTTATTTTTTAGTAGCGAGAGCGTGTCAATGAACGCTCTCAAAAAATTACCTACCTAAGGTCCTACAGTTGTGGTGATAATAATATACAAGACACAGCCGATTGATCGCTATGGAGATTGCTCAACAGATGATTATTGACAAAGAAGAAAAAGACTCGGAGAACGACAGCCGGCATGCAACCTATGAGTACCCGCCTCGAAGGATCGGTTGGTCGGCGGAGCTCTTGGTCTTCGAGGACGAGCCACCGGGGAGCTTCGTCACCGCAGTCGTGTGCAGATTGGGGTGCACGTAGCCGTAAGCTTCAAGGACCTGGTTGTCGGCGAAATTGAACGCCCTCTCCATCTGCTTCGCGCAGCGCTCGGCCGAGTAGTCGCCGGAGCTGCCGTGGCAGGGCTTGCATCCGACGAAGTGGGTCACGAAGGGCCATCGCTCGTCGCCCAGCCCCGGATGGTACTTGTCCATCATCTTCTCGAAGTTCTCGACCAGGATCACCCAGTAGCCGTGCAGGAAGAACGAGCTCTCGAGGTACGTCTTCTCGGACCACTTCTCGCGCTGCGAGAGGAGCAAGTAGATGAGCGCCGACTGATCGTCGGCCTCGAACTCGGGGCGGCCCTGCAGGTACTTGGTGAACAGCTTGCCGGCTTCCGTGCGGGGCTTGCCATTGGGCCCGAACGGAGCCCAGGCGTCCAAAATGTCCAGAGTCCACTGACAGTTGCGGATGAGGAAGCTGCCGGTGTTGAGCCCGATCCAGCTCTTCTTCTCGTAAATCATGTTGTACCAGCCGTGCACGACCATGTTGTAGTTCTCGTAGTTCTCCATCGGCAGCTCGAACTTCATGTCGGTGAAGAAGGCGTCACTGTCCATCCACCAAATCCACTCGACGTCCGGGTGCGAGAGCAGGAGCTTGCGCAGCAGGGGCAGCTTGGCCCAGAAGCCCGACATCTTCAGGTCCATGTGCGCCATGTTGTAGAAGATGTCGATGTCGTGCAGCCGGCAGTAGTCGACCTTGTTCTTGAGATTCTTCAGCAGGAAGTAGTCCCCCATCGGATTGTCGCACGGCTTGGGCTGCGACCCGGACACCAGCAAGGTCCGCGCCTTGCCACTGTTGGTCTGATTCGCCCCCTTATTCTTCGCCATGAACGCAGCACGCTGCTCGTCCCAGTCCGATATATGCTCGCCCAGCGTGTGGTGCACGGTCTCGGGATCGAAGTACTTGACCGGATCGAAATCCTTCTGAAGCAACCACCTCGAGCTGTCCCCGCCTTCCGCCTCGTCGTCGGTTTTCGAGCCCGTGAACTCCATCATCGTTCTCGTCGACCGATCCCTGTGAGCCAAGTGGTTCCTTATCTCGTCCAGGTCCTGGTTCGGCGTTCCAAATTTTCCAGCGCCCAGCATGCCTCTCAGCATCACCACCGTGACGAACATACATATGACGGTCATTTGCAAATTGTAGAGCGATTTCTGTATGCGGCGAGCTCTCGGCCCGGACAGAACTTGGCTCGGGCTCCAGCCGGCCATTTTCATCGTGGGAAGCGACTTCCTAAAGCTCTCTGACATTCGAGCTGCACGGAGGCTGCGAACCCTGTCGATGGTGGAATGAGATGAATCGAGCTCAGGGGCAGAAGGGAGCTGCGAGAGCGTTCCCGCCACTAAGGACTAACTTGTAGACAGCAGCAGCAGGGGAACTCGGATGACGAGACCCAACAATCTTTGCCTCCACCGCGTCTCCGCATCCGCAAGGGCAATGTGGGTGGCTCGACGAAGATTCTCAGCAGCTGAACCTAAAGTGCGGTCTAGACATAGCTTTCGCGGGAACACGGCACCAAGATGCTCCTTCGGCTGATGAGAGCTCGCGTCGAACACGAGGCTGTGGCGCGGATGTCGCCCTCCTGGATACGATCAGCTCACAGAATGAAGAGGAGGAAGAAGGGGAACATGGCGCAGAGGTCACGACATGAACCCGGGATTGGGATGTGCTCGAGCGCTCTCGCTGTGTCCTCTCAGGTGCTGGAGGAGGCCAGACAGGCAGGCAGGTACGAGGGAGAGGGGGCAGAACGAAGTGTTCAGAGCTCACGGCAATGAGCTCGACCTGCGAGTGAGAGAGATGGTGGATGGGTTGGCTCTGCAGACAGGCCCGGCGGGCAGGCTAGGCACGGTCCAGAGGAAGAGGAAGAAGGGGTCAGGGGGAAGGCACACCTCCAAAGGAATGAGCAACTCTCACGAGCTCATAAATGTAGTCACGGCACACCTCGTCGTCACAGGCATTGATCAACCAGAACCACTTTCCGACGCTCGCAAGGAATTGGCAGGCATGGCTCTCTAGTCCACCATTACTAGTTTGCTGGATGCTCACTAATTTCGGTCAGCAGCGCACAGGTGTGAGTGGAGAGAGATGCTCGACGCTAGGCGAGGCAGGCAGAGGCAGAGGCAGCTGGACCGAGGGTGTTGTAGTGTGGTGTGGCGTAGTGTAGCGTAGTGCGGGGCTTAGACCCTCAGAACCTCTACTTGACGTTTGTAGGCAGGGAGTAATAACAGCCCCCTCTCCCACCCAAGACATTCATGTCTCGCACGGAGAATGTGTCTCAGTTGCCCACTTTGCACTTTCAACCTACAGTATACAATTATTGACCACATGAGTGACCCTTTCGAGCCCCTCCACTAAAGTGATCCCAATTACTGCCGATTCTCGAATATCCAGACAAAAACAAAAATCCGCGAAAACGAAAGCACCTCGACGACCGTCGGGCTTAAACCCCCGCCCCATCGGACTGGAGCCCAAACCAGCGCCTAAGACCGCGCGGCCGAACCCTTCCCATTTGCCACATCCTATTTATTATGATCTCATCAGCGTAATTCCAGCAAGTTTCTCATGAGAACAATTCGTCACATGAACACCCTGAATATCACGGATTTGTTTACAGGCGCAACTCAGCTCACTGGCCGCCTGCTCGGCTTTTCCTACATCTCTGGCTTACTTAAGCATGTCAAATTCTCAACGATGTGAGAGATATATTTCTGCAAGCTCGACAGTCAGAACGGGGGCATTGAATGTTGTCATTTTACCGTTTCCTTTTTTGGAAGAGTGACAATAGGTACATTTATCATTACACGTTGCGAGTCGCCTCTCTTGTCGTTTGGAGACCTTGGGAAAATTACCGTGCGTCATTGCGGAGGAGGAGTCAACATGAATTGGCTCCCAAGGCCTTTAGATTTGGGGGTGAGTTCAAGAGGCTGACTAAGCGTGGGGAAAGATTCAGTCCCATGAAGTCAAGTCCCTACCTCCCTACCTCCCTCCTCGTACAATTGTCAACGTCGAAGAAAAATCCTCACTTCTATACGCTATACATGTATACGGTCGGTTCAGATTTAGTTTCAGTTTGTCCTATGACCGTCTGGCCCCGTGGAAGACTCCGCGTGCGAGACTAGCAGACTGCTGTAATATACACCATACCATTTTCAGAAAACAAAAGGAAAAAAATCACAGTTGTGGAACTTGGATTGTCCAGAAGAGCATTTACTGCCAGCCTTCTAGACTGACTGACTAACCAAGAGTGACGTGACGGCTGTGCTGAGCCCTGACTCCTGGCGCCTTGCTGGGAGGAGACTGTCCCCGAGCCTCCCCCAATCCCTCGCTGCCTCCCTCCCTCCCTCCCTCGATGTAGATCTGACATTCAGTCACCGGTATCACCGAATCCTGAAAGCGGCTCTCCGTTCTCACGATGGACTATCAGGATGGAACCTTAATTGGTACCAGAGGACGCCAATTGGGGCCTCGCCCTCATCCCACGCCATTAATACTTTTCGCCATATTACAAGGTTACCGAGGAAGTTAATAGTGAGCGATTCTGTCCTCAGACGTCTCACCTGAGAGCCTCGGGCTTTTGGGGCGGCACCCAAAGGACGGAGCAGGAGGATCCTCGGCTGCCTTTCAGTTATCCGGGTCCCAAGCGATCTTCTGTCGGTTGGGGTTTCGAAGCTTTCGATGGATGGGATGCTGCGGCTGGCCTAATGTCCTAGTGTCCTAGTCGAGACTAGATTAGACTAGACTAGACTAGAGAGCGGGGCGACGAGTCTCGAGAGTTCGATTTCTCGTGCGCGTGAGGGCTGGCTGGGCGACAGCTGACGAACTCGATCGAGAATGAGAGTGGACTGGGTCGAGTGCGAGCTGTGTTCCTTGTGCTGCCGCCCGCCCGCTGCTGGCATGTGGATACGGTTGGAGATGCCCCGAGGCATGCCTAATTCTCATTCTTCCATATAAAGCATGCCCTGTATGTACAGATACGTATCTTCTCGACTTTTTCAGCAGTTATACTTCTAAGATTGATGTATTTTTACGGACGTACAATTTTGATACTTCCAAATATATTTTAATACGGGCATGGATGCCTTTTGACTCTGAAAGGGGGATTGGGCATGCCTCAAAAATTTTGTTGTGCCTCCAATCCTACATGTGGCCCTGTCGACTTATCCCATCACTCGTGGACGCCGTGAAACTTGCTTCGGTCTCATGTGCGACATAACATGGACTTCAAATCACTTGGCACGCAATCGCCATCAAGCAAACTTGAGCGCCATCCGCGAACCCCTCCCTCCCTCCCTCCCTCGTTCGCCGCTCAGTCTAAATCTGATTCAAAGCCGTCCGGTCCAGTGCGCACTCCGTCGAAGAACTTTCCTTATCCATCTCCAAACCTCGTCACCGGATGTTTCAACAGCGGAAGGTCCGGATCCAGCGGAAGCAACTCAACGTTCTGCTGCTGCTGCTGCTGCACATGATTACTCAATGGTAAATTAATATGGCCTCGAAGTCCTAATAATATCCTCGAAGGTCCTTTTCTTCTTCCGCTTCGTTACCTTGACCTTGACGGTCCCCTCGATTCTACATTTCTTCAGACCTTAATATGCTGCATGCACCACAATTCTGGTTTTCTTTTCGAGGACGAATACTTTTCTTTTCCTTCAGGACGGTTTGTGAGATTGCACCACTTGCGTAATGTGTGCTATACATGGTAGACTAACAAAAGGATGGGAACATATCTTGAGTAATTACAATGTTAGTTGTTCGCATTCAGCTGGACCATCCTTCTTACCAAAATCTACCAAACGATTTATTAATCTTTGAGCAACAAACCGCCACAAGTGTCTTCTATGCTTCAGACATGCAATATTACGTGGAAACTAAAACTTATATTCGAAAATTACAGGTTGCCCGTAATGAGTTCAAATATGTGCTTTGAAGAGTGTGTAAATAAATTCATTTCCATTTATGTATTTAGTTATCAACATTAAGTTAGTAACAAAATTTAATTTGAAGATATGGAATTTTCTTGTAGTTTGAAAAATCATGAGGTGCTCTTTCCATGAAAAATATGACCAAATTATTTGTATCTATGTATGTATATATTCAAATTTTATGCCAACATAAAGTTATTACGAAAGATTCAAGAAATTTTTTAAATAACTCATAATTGTAACTCTGTATTTCCAACAATCACAAAAGGTGATATGTTTCATACAAAATAATATGACATAACGTCGTAAAATTTTACTTTAAATTTCCCTTGTAAATTAGATAGTTAGTAAATTTGGAGTAAATTTATGGTTTTTTAAATCGTATATAAGTACGATTTCATAATGGTGGGTTAGGAAGGGGTTTTGTCGAGCATTGTAGAAAGCGTCTAGGTTTACTCGATCCATTATCAAGATTGATCATCTGAAATAAATTCCAAGTTTCTTCTTTCCATAGGCTAAATAATTCTTTAAGTAAATCCTCTAATCTCTGCAATAATCGGTACCATTAGAATTTTGTTGCAAGAAATTATAGAAAATTACAGAACGTAAGATATTTTTTCGGTTATCAAAATATTTTCTAATTTTTCAAAATATTTTGGCGTAAGACTTTGACATGCTCAAGCAATTTCTTACATAGCTTCAAATTCCTCCTTTGAAAGTTTGTGGGGAGATATCAGTCCACACATCATGTATCAGTTGCATCATACATGTCAATCTTCCGCCAGATTTATAGTCTCCTAAATTGGTATTGTTTCGCGATCAAATAATTGGGTATCCTCTAATCTAGTCACTCTTTATAGTTGACTAGAAATGAGGAATATGACCAAATCTCTAAAGTGCTAATCAAATTTTTTTTGTATATGTCAGCACGATGCTTAGTTGAAGCATCAGATCGGATGTCATTAAAACTTTGCCTAATTAGTCTGTCCTCAGTGTTAGTTTCTACGTCGTCCCGCTTTTTCCCACTTCTGCTCTTTCACCTCCTTATTTGTTATGGTGCAAAAAAAAGTTAGTGAGGCTAATGAGAGTCAGAGTCCATCGCCTCAAAGGTGCTCTCGAAGGAAAAGCGTGAACTGACAACGACGCCAGAAGTACTTCGAAGAAAGACAGTAAGGCGACAAGGAAAGTCCACTTCAAAAGTCCAGCAGAAGTCGTTTCAATTGGGTGCCTTGGGTTAAGAAATTGCAACAGTTTCCAACGAAGGCTCGTAAAGAAGGGAAATTATTATTTTGACCGAAGAAGACAGTTGACCCTTTTATTTTGTGAAAGAAAAAGAAAAAAAGGGAGATGAAGAACTATCTATCCCATGACTTCAATCGTACGTTTGGAAGATGAACGAATGGGAGAAGGAGGGCTAGAGATAACCGCCGATATTTCTCACTTGGGGAGTGATAATTATGATTCTTCGCAGCATTCCTCGCGCATCTAGATTTCGGAATATGCTGTAAAAATGCAAACTTGTGCTATCACTGTACTGGAGTACAGGAGACTGTTCCGACTTTTCAGCGGGCGCTGCTGGTGGGGAAAGAAGTTCCGTCAAAGATCGCGACAAGAGCCCCTTGGGAACAGAATATTTCCACGTAAAGCGTAATCTCAACAAACGAGATGGTAAACGAGAACCGCGAATCCACAGTTGAGGAATTAATGTCGATGCAGTCCCACAAACCTTGTTTGATTCTCCGCAATTCAACCACCAACTGGAGCCAGCTCTTACGCAATCATGACGTCAAAACCTGTTTTCTTCTCGGAAAATTTGAGCCCGCGGAGGATTGTGGAGAAAAGAAAATCTCACTGGGGTTTGATTTCTCGTGAGAAGTGGGAGTTGGCGCTCTCCACCTTGAATCCTGAGGGTAACCAAGCCAAACCTTGCTCTCCTCACCACCCAAATTCAGTGTGTCCCGTAAACCCTTCTGCCCTTGAATCTCCTGCAGAAATGTGGTGTTCGGTGAAAATAGGTATGCGAGATAATACTGGTACAGAGTACTCCCCTCCAGACTTTCGTGATAACTGACCTTCTTGCAGAGGGTAAACGGGTTGAAGATATCATAGATGTATGAATCTGTGGTCTTGTAAACTGGCGTGTCTCATGATGAACAAGAGGAGGAGGAGGAAAATTGAGCCGTACAGATGCATGATGGTCGAATTCGCTTGTGCAATCTGCAAGGTGGTGGTGGTACACGTACCGGAGGTCGGAAGAGGTTGATATGCGTCCAACGACTGGCGAATGTGCGAGGGCGAGAGAGCAGGGCCCCCGAGCCCACAATTGACTGTGACGTCCACAGTGGCATCGAGGGACACTGAGGAAGTTTCGTCTCGGGCTTGACTGACAAGAGTCGGTGTAACACTCCAGTAAACAGCTGGACGATGTCGAAGTGCTGCGAGGCAACGCTGTCTTTTCAGTCGATTTACACGGCTTCGTCGTCCACCTTTATGCCTTTAGAGAAACGCGGGTTCACATTGTCCACCTGCCGGGTGGTCTATTCTTTCCATCCTATTAAATAATTCGAACCCTAGAGCTTTTCGTTAACGAAAGTTACCGTGTCAGACGAGAGCGGCTGCTCAATGCCTGTCGAGCTGTGTGGGTCAACATCAAACTTGAGCTGGACTCAGGACTTGTCCCTAAGTTCTCCACAGTCGGTCCATCTGCTGTACTTCGGCCATTGCTCGCCGAGCAGAGTCAAATGCTGGAAGAGAAATTCCCGAATCTTTGTAAATCTGCTCGACTTTGCGTGAGGACGATCTAACATTTACATGATTCACTTTGGACACATGTGGACGCAGGTATAGTACATTAAGCCCCTCGTGTACGGGATTCATCGAGCATAGCATCATCATTCGCTCACTTCTCCCTCGTAACGCCCTTTGCACATTTCTACTTCTACGAGCTTACTTTCATCGGTCTGCATCGTCTGAGCATCGGTTCCGGTGCATGCGACTGAGCACATCACGTGCCCAGGTCGAGCTCGGGAAGTTGCACATGAAGCCTTCCTCTGCTGGAGACCCAGATCATCATGTGAATGGCGGGACTAGTGTAGGGTATGATATTCATCGCCCAAATTTCGTGAGTTTAATATAATATTATATAAACTTGAAATTGTATATTGCTCCAATGTGTATTATAAAGAGTTTAAAATTCAAAGAAATGCATTGGTGAGACTCCAAACTTCCTCTCATGCATTGCAATTTGACCATTTTCCATCCTCACATATGACTTCTGGCTACCGAACTTGGAACCTATATGAAATCCATTAGATTCCAACAAGTTTACTATAGACAATCAAAAGATCCTGAAGTCTAGATGTCTTCAATGCAATTTAGCTATAGCGTCCCCGTAGATAGAAAATATTTCTTTAAGAGACTTTCATCAATTTTTATACCGTTGATGAGGTGCAAAAGCCAGAAGAGGTCATACAATGTGAAGTTAGATTGGAATAGATTGCGAAAGATGAGGATAAAGAGTTTGTTGATGTCTGGATTCAGATATGAAATCTGAGCAGTTCGAGTTTAAACTATTTGATCAAGATGATGATGTAAATGAGGATAAAGGATAGTATGTTCTAATACAATGAGAATGTAGAAGAGTAGATCTTAATACAATAAAATACAATGTGATTTTTTCAATCCTGTATTATACTTTGTGTATAATATTCTGGTTTAATACATATCCATCACTAGGCGGACGTTAAGAGTAATGCATATTCAAACATACTAACGTTGGCAAACTTTACCCAAAACCTTACTTTTTCACATTGAAATTGCTTCAATATTTATTAGCTCATTAGTATTAAAGAACATATCATATTGATTCCAATGTGAATTTACTTTATCTCTTTATTTTCTCATTCTGCTTTGTGACCGTTATAAATTTAATATTGTAATATAGTGGTGTTAAGAAACTGTATCATTTTTGTTGTTTTTCCAATTGATTTTAACTATGATTCTCTTTCTCATAAATCTTCAAATAATACCCGATTCCAACGTGGGTATAATAGTTCAATCAAACAATGCATCACAAATTCATATTTATACCGTTTTTATTCAGTTCATTTTTCAACTCAAAATTTAATTAACACAAAATTTAATTTCTATCATCAAAGTTTCAATTGTCAAAAATAAATTTCATGCAATTATTTGATGAAAAAATGATTCATAAATAATACGATAATAATGAATGCAATTGGCGACTCTACAGATGTTCTACATTTTAGAATCAATATTTCTAACTCTTTTTTTATGAGATTCATGAGCTTTTCATCCGTCACAATAGATTATCATTCAATTTGAATTCTTATTACACATTGCATTCGTTAACAATAGGAATACAATGTAGCATACAAATAAAATGTGGTATTCTCGAATCAAATATTGAATAGTTCAAACCTTTGTGTGTGTTTAACACATTGAACTACATGCACTGTGTTAGTTCAATGGATAGAACATTGTGAATTATTATGGACAACCTTTCACTGAAATTGTAGTAATCACATGTAATAACCATAAGGTCTATAACAAGAACTTGACATTTTGAGAGCATTCATGTCTCTATCCCAAACATTGTTCAATCCTATATGTTCATATCTACGTTATAGCAATTATCACATCCTAATGAGTTCATGAATGAGATTTAGAGTTGAAAGAGTCACATGAAGAAATGTTAGCAATCTACTAAATAACTATCACGCCTAGAATTGAACAATGAAAATGTATCCACCAAGCCAATGCCCAATGTCATTGCTCAATAGGTAGTAGAGGTGAATGGTGAAGCAATAAATTAAGGTAGACAAAAGATCCATTTCTTGGGTTGTAACATTCTTCTACAATATCCAGAAATTACGAACTCGCGAACATCAATTCGGTTGGAGAAAGTTCTGAATTTGCAATGTGTTGCAAATTGTAAGTTAAATGAGAGAGACTGCATGATTCCAGATATATATAGAGCTGTCTCGTTCTCTACTTCTTGTGTCGTCTCACAAAGGGCTTCGATCCCGCTCATGACGCTTTGCAACGTGTCTCAGGGAGGGTAGCGAGGGATGTAGGGCGATAAGATTCTGACTCATGATTCAGGTGACTCGAGAATCTCAGAAACGTCAGAGTCACCAATTATCAGCCAGTTCATGTTCTGGTCCCAAGTTTCGCGAAGTGACATATACTATTCACACCCCGAATGTTCACACAGAGCGTAAATCTAGGCCTGGTGTATTCCATGATATCAGAATTCAATCGAAATTTATAGTCCATGAGCAATCCACTCAAACTCGCCTGCTGGTTTCCTCTGGAAACTTCTGCTGGAATCTGGTACTGCGATCGTTCTTTGACCTTCTGCTTTCTGATCCGGGCCAACATGTTCCTCCAAATGGTCCAAGCGTAAGTACTCCGCATTGACCGGTAGTTGTTCAACCTCATCCGGATAAAACTACACTATCGTTGTCGTCCACCTGTAAGGTTTAAGATGGTCGTGGCATGAGCAACTTTCCAATCACTGTATGGTTTTCGATCATGGAAATTTGAGATTCCGATTCACCAGGATACCCTAATTCGAAGGCAAAAGCGGGATACTCGTGGCAGCAGTTGTACCATCTACGCATTCGACTGCATACTTTGAATTTGTCACCTCAAAGGGATATCTTCGTCTCTCTTCTACGGTTGCAGCTGGATTCGGTACTGCCTTCTCCTCGATCCTCTCAAGCGAATTCAGGGCTTAACGATCACATAGCTCGCTTGTCAAATTGTGTCAAGATGCGATTGGAACAATGGTTTCCTTACGGGTCTCATGGTGTCAGTTGGCCCTCGGTCGGCAGTGCTTTGCTCGTCATGCTTATGGGCAGCGTAATTTACTTCATATGGAATTGGGCTTCGGATTCGGGTGATTTCGGCAGGCGTCGTCGAGGGCCGAAAAGCTATCCCATCTTGGGTGCTCAGATCGAAATTTCCAAGAATCTGAACAATCTTTACGCATGGGCGACCTCGTACTTGGAAAAGGATCCCACGCACACCATTCGCGTGAGGAGGCCCCTGAGTAGCTCGTACGTAGTGATCACTGCCAACCCTGAGAACGTCGAGCATATGCTGAAGACCAATTTTGACAACTATCCCAAAGGGGCCACGGTTTTGGAGGGTCTGAGGCCGCTTCTGGGCCACGGAATTTTCAACGCAGACGGGGATATGTGGAAGTCGCAGCGCAAAGTAGCGAGCCACGAGTTCAGCACCAGAACACTGAGAGACTTCGTGGTGGAATTCGTGCACAACGAGACTCACGAGCGGCTTCTCCCCGTCCTCGCCGAAGCTCACGCCGACGGCAGGGTCATAGACATTCAAGACGTTTTCCTGCGCTTCGCTTTCGACAACATTTGCCTGCTGGGATTCGGCTACGACCTGGGCTGCTTGGACCCATCTTTCCCGGAAGTAGAATTCGCAAACGCTTTCGATGAAGCGATGGTGCTGACATTCAAGCGAGTTCTGCTCCCCCAATCTCTGTACACCATCGTCTCAATCCTGGCCCGCTTCGGACTCGTGGGCGACTTCGGAATCGGAGCCGAGAGCAAACTGGTACAGCACGTCCAAATCATCGACAAATTCGCTCTCGCACTCATTCAAAAACGGCGCGAGGAGCTGCAATCGCGCACCGAGGACGACGATAAGTCCGAACTCGACATCGCGGACCGGAAGGGGACGAGCAAATTCTCTCAGGGACAGAGCGATCTGCTCTCGAGGTTCATCCAGTTCGACGACGAGGTGAACGCCCACGACGACGAGGCCGAGCAGAAGCGAAAGGACCGGGCGCCGTCGGACAAGTATCTCCGGGACATTCTGATCAACTTCGTGATCGCCGGAAGGGACACCTCGTCGCTGGCCCTGACGTGGTTCTTCTGGCTGCTCCCGCAGTATCCCGGCGTCGAGCAGGCCATCGAGGCCGAGGTGACGAGCATCCTCCGGGCCAAGGGCAAGACGGCGGCGGACGGCTTCGATTTCGACGATCTGAAGGAGATGCACTACGTGCAGGCCGCGATCACCGAGTCGATGCGCCTGTACCCTCCGGTCCCGACGGACAGCAAGACCGCACTCGCCGACGACCGCTTTCCGGACGGCACGGTCATCGGCAAGGGCGACCGGGTGGTGTTCCACTGCTACGCCATGGGCAGAATGCAGGACCTCTGGGGGCCGGACTGCCTGGAATTCAAGCCCGAACGGTTTCTGCATGACGGCAAATTCGTCCCAGCAAGCTCATTCAAATATCCGATCTTTCAAGCCGGCCCGCGCATCTGCATGGGCAAGGAGATGGCCTACACGCAAATGAAGTACATCATTGCGTCCGTCATCAGCAGCCCGTATAGGTTCAAGCTCTCGCCGGGAGCCGAGAAACTGCCCGCCTCCGGGCTGTCTCTGACTTTCAAGATGCGGCACGGCCTCAAGGGCACTGTACACAAGGTGTAGATAAACGTCCGTCCGTGGCTCTCAGCCTCACTTGCGGCATCCGGTAGCGCCGTATCCCTTGGGATCAAGCCATGTTCTAGGCATGGTCACTAGCCGGCTGGCCGTCAGCTAATCGGCTATCGGCCGAAAATGCAATTGATCGAAATATATGGCCGAAATAGATGTTTAATAGCAGCCCTACCATGTAAATTGTGAGCATCCCTACCATGTACAGATAGGAACGCCTGACCTCTGGAGGGAGTTGCACCTCATTCTCATACAGAGGACGGCTCTGTTCCCGGCGTCCATCGCCGGATTCTGAGCTGCCTTCTCGGTTGTTGTCCGTCTCGTGAGCGGAGTTCCTTACATTTGTACATAAAATTTTTATTTTTCTGCTCTACGGCCAGACCTCTATTGGAATCGCACGAAATATTCCGTTATTTATTATGATTGTATATATAAGATACACAAAAGAGATGATAAGATAGTATATTACAAGATAATATATGCAATGGCATCGTGAATGTTGATCCGTCGGCTGATGTACTGTAATCGAGTACGTATAACGATACACATGGCTTAGGTATATCGAATACGTAGATGATTTTCTCTGCGTTTTACAATGAAGGTCGCGCTGGGCGTGTTCGTACGTCAATGCAATCATACTCACGCATACGCGAGAATGTACGATGATCCAAGAGGGCTGTCCCGGTTACGTTGGCGAAAACATAATGCAGGGCTGCATGTGATTCTGGTTAAAAGACCCCACGCGCTTTACGTCGAAGAAGTCCACTTGGTGATTACCATGGGTCGTCATCGAACTCGACACGGGAAGTTCTGTTTAACCGAACGCGAGGTTTCTAACTCTAGCATAGAATGAAAAAGAATAAAATCATCGCGAATGAACATTGAGCCAAAAGAAAAACGATAGGAATCTGGTGTTGCAACTTTCTCCCGTGGCGGACCAGTTTTTACCAGAGAGACTGCTATTCTCGGTGAGGCTATCATCTGCGACAGCTCTGTCAGAATTCTTTGTCTTACACTGGAGAAAGACGAAAGCCGAGTGACATAGCCAAAAGGTGTCGCACATTGAGAAGGAAACCAGCAGAGAAGCCCGTCAGATGAGGGTTTAGGGTTTAAACCCCAATATCATCACAATGCTGTCATAGTGTGGGTGTCATAGTGCACCGACGTATCGTATGTATAGAATGAGTTGAAGTATATACGGATTCGAGCTGGCAGATGTTGAGCTGTTGACAGTCCGGGAATACAGGGACCCTGTCGTCTACGACGGACGTCGATGGGAAGAATCGATGGGAAATGATGGCGCGATGGAGTTGGGTTTCTCTCGTGGAGCGATGTCGTGGTCACGGAAGAGTATATGCTCTGCGCTCGGGCTGCTTGGGTTTAGCTTTAGGGTTTAGGGTTTAAGCCTCTGGACCGGATGCGATCGACACTGCCTCCGGGAGATTTGGAAACTAGTGAGTGAGGTCAGCGGAGGTGGTGTTACTCTGTAGGGAGACGGGTAACTTGGGGAGGGGCGGAATCATTTAGAGCTGGCTAGCTTTTGTTCATGCGTCTGTTCACTCAGCTGCGAGCGTAGTGCTCGTACTTGGTACTACTATCAATGTGGAGCTTTTTGTCTGGTCCGGTTGGTGCAGCTCTTTCTTGATCGGCGCCTTCCTTCTTGGCTGTCCCCGTCGCTTTCACAATTCACGCTGACAAGGGCACTTTGGACCTGCAGCTGAGCTGAGGCAAGGTGGTGCTGTGTCTGGTTGGTCCAAGATTATTAGAGCTCGCAATCCTCATTTTATGCCTGTCAGCCCCAATGTCTTCTGTCCAGCCATTCTCATACCGTGGATACGCCGTGAGGTCTCACCCTCTTTTCCTCCTCCCTTCCTTAGCGAGGGAGGTGGGTGGGATGGTGTCCTGATGGGAAGGTGAGCATGCCAGCAGTCCTCTTCAAGAAGATCTGGCTGTTCCCTTCTCGATTCTGCGTCCCAATACGTTCTAATGCCCCGCTGGGTTAGGTGTCTTGTGGAGTCCATCTGGCCACATATTACGGTGTTTAGACAAGTGCAGAACTCTGTCCCATGTGACATGCACAGGGCTCCGGATCCCAACCAGTATGGGAAAGTGAGAGCCTGAAGATATGTCCACATGGCGTGCTGTATCTCGTCCCGACAGAGCCCCATGGAATTCTGATTGGGTCTGGAGTTCAGGGTCCACGGTCATGATGGCTTTGGGGTCCACACCTTCCACCGAGGGGTTTCTTCTATCGCAAGGTAATTATGACCTTTTCTGAGCATTTTGAGCTCCTTCTTGGGCATGTGATTACAACAACTGGCACACATACAATACTTGTCCATGGCGATACACTCGTCGATCGAAATTTGAATTTCGAACCTCCCGTGGGTGTGGGAAACACGGAGATTCCGGCCTTGTCCACAAGACGCGCCCTACATATCTCTGATCGAGCTCGTTGACCATGTGAAATCTCTCTGGCCTACAATTCCTGTGCTCTATTTCCTACCTTTTCCTCAACGTTGAGAGCTTTTCCCCGCCCGTATGTTGGCTTTCTCATATTGTTCGGTTGAAAGCTGGAGAAAGTTCTCATCCCACTGTACACTAACAAAATCTGTGCGCGACCACCATCCTTACCAGGAATGTTCGTATTTTAGGGTACCAAATCCTCAACCTGTCTCATGTGCCAAATTTTGAGCTCGGATGTTAACAACTTCGTTACAATACCCGTCCATGGCTTCCTCCCCCCAGGCGCCGAGATTCAGATACATCCGACAAGACGTGAAAATCACATTGCTTGGGTCTCAAGCACTGGTGATCTTAGCCCCGTGCTATGGGTCCACACGACCGTGACATGTTCCAGCAGAAAATTCGCATATCCTCGGCTCCATTGCCTTACCTTGTCCGCTTTTGCAAAAGAGACCCTGATTGAACCTACGTGACCCATGTGAACTTGAAACTGCCAATTCAGGTGCTTGAGAAAGTGCGGTTCTGTTAATATATCCGCATGAAGTCCGTCTTTGACCGATATCATCTACACCTAGAATGAGTGCAAAGTTTGTATGTGGACCCACTTCCTTGTGGCTATCACGAAGCGGTGCTTCCACTGCAATCGCGTGTGCGTTTTGAGAGCGTAACCTAAATTTTTTTTTCTTGCTTTCCAGTTTCTAGTCATGATAAGGTCATCTCCATCCAACCTTTTCAAGCTACAGGAGTATACTCAGCAGTTCTGAATGCATGGGCTATGTGGTGAACGAGTAAGGGATCGCCTCCTGGGGTGTTGGGTCCAGGGAAGGGAGGCTGTGAAGCCATTAGAAGAGCCAAGTCCTGTAACTAGGTTCGAAAAGGTCTCATTTTCGCATCATGATATTTGCGAAAAGAACATTCAGAGGCTTCTCGTCTACATCGTGGATCTCAAATTGATGACAATCTAGACGCGAAGGTTGGCAGGTCATTACATATTTTAAGATACATTATGAGAGTGGAGTAACCTGCAATGGAGGAATCATGTCAACACCCGAACTTTCGTTATACTTGGAGTAGAATTTTGTCACCAACTTGTAACATCAGGAAGGAACCTGAGCAACGTGACGGAAACTGGATGTAGCCCTACTTATAGTGTTTGATGTCTTGCTGACCTCGGCTCAGAACAACAAAAGAGAGGCCATGGAATCCAGTATCGTAGCGCTGAAAAATCGAGGAGGAAACGATGTAGCAAACAGGTCACTTTAATAAAGAAAGAGACCCGATGGCCGAACTGTCCTATGCGGGCTTGGCACGAGGAGACAAGAACTCAAGCAGCCTCAGTTTGTGTAAGAAGATTCTGCAAAAGGGCTGCGGAAGGAGATCTGATTGTGCAAGCTAACATGCAGTACGTCCGTACGGCGGTAAACGCTGAATGCCAACCATCTATAACCCAGAATGTTTGTTTATACATAGCTGTCACTAGCTTGTTCTCGTGCAAAAGTGTTTGTTTCCTTCCTTTCTGCAGCTTTTGCTGACATCTACTGAAGTTCGCTAGTCCAGGCTATTATCTCCTGATGAATGTGAAGCATGTGCCAGTTCGCCTACGTAACCCTCGATCTGTTCGGGTCCTCCGCCTCATGTCAAGTTCTTTCCTACGTCGTAAGATAGTAGGACTGCTCGATGAAATTGATGGGTAAGCTTGATCCGTCTTCATCCACCATGAGTCCTCCGTTGAGGTTTCAACCCTAGAACCGCAACATCAGAATCTAATTTCTGTACAACCAGACTCGGATATCTTCATTGATTCTTCACGGAGGCGCTTGATCATTCCAGCAAAAGCTCATGCGCGACTATTTGTACTAATCTGTACTATCGTCTGCATTTCCCCTCGACAGTCTTACGAACATCGACTTCCTGCCCTGGAGCACCAGTTTCCGAAGCGACGTTTGTTATTTTCTAATTTATCGACACTCCCGACGAGCAAGACTCAAGTGTACTCTTGACTATATCAAGTTTCTCGCATTTTAAGCTCTGCCAGTTTGGCACAGTAGTCTTGCGGGATAAATAGACTACGCACTACTAGTTACAACATCTTCGCGATATGAAAAATTTTGTCAAAGAATCATCCTGGCCGATCGATGGGGTGGAGGTTGGTTCGCTGTATCTTCAATTTTTTCAAAGATGTTGTTAACCCATGCAATAATGTATCAATGTTAACAACGCCACCCGATTATCTACTGGTCTACTTCTGGAGTGCAGTTTTCCTCCGTATACAGCTCACTCCAATTTCCAACCACGAAATCGAGTTCTGACAGGCCTCTCGGAAGAGTCAAATGCCGGGGAGCCTCCCCAGGAGAGAGTCCGAAAAGGAGGCAACCAGGATTGAACTGATGACCTATCGGACTGCAGCCGATTGCTCTACCACTGAGCTATACCTCCTTGCATGATGTTAAGTTAATCATTGAAAAATATATTTTTTGATGGTAAATCAGCATTACCTGTAAATTTCGGTACTACATAGTTTAACTAGTTATGGCTTCTTGTACACGGTTTCTATCCAGAAAATCCAGATTTCATATTTAGTTTGGGATTCTGAAAAATAGGTATATTTGTTTTTTCACCTGATAATTTCGAAATTCTACTTATGTGCTTGAGCTATCTCTGTAGAGCATACACTTTTTGCAATCTGCATGTATAGATTTTCTCGTTAGCAATTTTTGGGATAGATTTGATTTCTTAATTTAATATTTGATATCGAAATTCTTTAAACAATAAAGGATGTAATCATATTCATTTTATATGTAATAGGTATTGTTTAAACATGTATTTTTTTCATTTATATTTTTATTAAACATAAAACACATTGAAAATTTTGTACATCATAGTTGAAAAATTAGAAAATGATTTTTTAAATAAATTATTTCGATAATATAGATTAGTCATTTTAAGTGGACCACACAAGACCTTAAGTGAACTACATATATGAGAATTTAAACCT